AAGACCGCGAGAAGCGAAGCACTACCCAACAAATACAGTGTTAATTATCATGTTCTCATCACTACTTACTAACTGGTCATCACCTCCACATAATTTGTCATTTGATTTTTATACCATGCTTGATCCTTTTTTGTTGTTTGATTTAGAGAACACTTTAGCTATATATGGCTAGTGAAATTTTCATTGTATCAAGACAATGCCTTTTTTTGGCGGGAAAAACCAGTATTATCAAAGAAATAGACGAATAAGACGGCCGTGCATTATATATATATATATATATATATATATATATATATATATATATATATATATATATATATATTTCGAGTTTATATTTTGGAAGATTATATTGGCACAGTGATGATGCTTGATATAAATCACCTTTAAGTAGTTGAAGTAGGATGAGTCGTTGGAAGAGCAGACTGGATCACTGGCTCACGAGCTTAATGATCTTGAGATACCTACGATCAGAGAACACGTGAACTAAGTCGGAGTTTGATCCGGCGGAAACTCATCCAACGCTCAAGTCAGGTGTGTGGATAGCAAAAGTCGTAAAAAGAATATGAGCACTGTATGGTTCGAATATTCAACGCACCTTAACAAATGAGTTAAAACTTTTATTTATACATCGTTGATTGAGCTGGAGTTTAACTAGCTGAGATAGTCGGACTCAAACCTTATTTGAAGGTGATTGGACATTCGTTGTAATTGTCTTAAAAAATGGGCTCATGATCCAATAAGTAAAAAAACCGTAGACCCATTACGTTGGCCCAATTAGGCATATTACGTGGCCATTTAAAATTGGCACAAAGAGATGGACTACATACAAGATGCAAGCAGCCCTTTCCTTTTCCGTCCACGTGGCATCCATTTTTTGGTCCATTTGGATTATTGTCATGTCATCAAATAGAGACATTGGAATTATTTCAAATTGTTTTAATATAGAAAAATAGTAATAATTCTTAATTAACTCATGCAAATTAATTAGATATTAGAACAGGCCAATTCAAATGCTACATTTTCAAAAATAAATAAATAAATAAATATTATTTGCTAGATGGGTATTATTGAGTAGTATTGAAACTAGGGTAACCTAGTTTATTAGTAATCTAATTACCTTCAACAACTTAAATGAAAGTGAAATGTGTGCTACAAATCTACAAATGTCATTTAATTAGCGTTCTTGATTAATCTATTATCTTATAAATAAATGCTTATTTTTTTAAAATAAAAAGGAATTTAAATTTATATATATATATGTGTGACACTATTTTGATAGAGTGGAGGGGCTGCCTTATTGATGAAATGTCTATTATCAAGTAATGTACAACTTTAGCTTTTATTATTTGTCTTTGAATTTTATACCCTTATTGGCCTGGCCGGCTGCTATTGGATACCCCACATATAATTTCACACTAATTTATTTATTTATTTTTTCAAATTAAATTAGAGTGCATGATTTTGAGATTAGATAGAGACACATACATAGTTAGCTAGCTGGTTCTAGGTTACTTTTTTAATTTAAATATATTTTAATATGCTATGGTTATGTATAATATATGCCAAATTAAATCCAATATAATATACTATCTTGAAATTGTTATTTTAAATAATGGCTTTGAAAGTAATTATCCAAACTATTAAAAAAAGGGTAGTTTTATGAATATTATTAAGCAAGTGCATTTAGATATTTAATTGTAAAATAAAATCTTGATAATTAAATAATAATAATCATGCTTAAGTTCCGGATTATTTTCCTTACGCGGTAGACAAAAATGTTGACTTCAAAAGTTGTTTTTATTCCTAACTAAAGCTTTTTTGTTTTATCGGTTTATGTTTTTTTATCGGTTTATACGATGCTGTATTGGTGAAATATATGGTGTAGATCTTTGTCATTCATACACACTCAAACACACAAGTACCCACATTAATATGTGTAAATTAACTGTAAAAATTCACTTAGTGTAACATTCACCGAGTGTAACATAAAAATAACTTACTTTATCTTAACATTAAGTGGCAAATTGGTAAATAAATTTTAAACTCCGGTTTCCGTTGCATAATTATGGGCCTATGGCTAAAGTTAAACCAAATTACTCGACACTCGATTCAAAATCAGGTTGTTGCAAGCTCGTTTGATTTTTGTCCATTAAGATAACGAACCAATTTATATATCAATTTTCTATAATATAATATGTTAATCCTACTTAATATAATATATATATATATTTATATATATTAACAAAGTTAATTATAATTACAATCGAAACAAGACACTTTGGTTGGTTAACGTAGTCCAGAAGAAATATTATTTTGGGATTGAGGTACATAAGTAGTAGTTTATTGTAAGTCAAATTAAACTATAGCACTAATATTTATAATCGATTTCTTTGATACTTCTTAGTCAATTTGATCAAAGATTTCAAATTAATTACGTTCAATTTAAAACAACAGAAACAGTAAAATACGTGAATTCATCGAATGATACAACTTCAAGGTTAAAAAAAACACGTCTCTCGTACGATTTGCAATTTATTATACGAGAGTGTATGTTTATTTAGTACACCAATATGATTGGCTGCACGTTCCTTCGTTACAAAAGAATTTGAAAAAATACGATATTTGGAATATAGTTGGGTTCAATTTAAAATTTAAAAGCTATCATTTAAACTCAATTTAATTAATAATAAAGTCACATCAAATCTTATTTCTAAATAAATTAAATGGGTATCAGCTTTTTTGTTTTGGCAATCACCTAATTTTATCAGCCAAATATAGCACACAATAAATCTTGATCCCTATTTTCAAGCTAAAGATAAAAGCCAAATAAATGAAAATAAATAAGAAATATCCAATTTTGAAAAAAAACATTAAAGAAAAAGAAAAATAGAAAGAATTCAAATTTGCTCACAACAGATTGGTGAATGGTCAGAACCAGGCTGGCCAGTGACCAAAATTACTAATCGAACCATTCTTTCTATCACGTGGCTTGCAAGCATATTAATTATTTAATTTGAAATCCACATATATAATTTATTCAATTATATTCATCTTTGCATAATATTCAATTATTTACTAACTAATTATTTAATTAGTAATACATCAGTTCCTTATAATGCAATTTCTTCTCAATATTCCTAAATTATTAGGTACATATTCGTCTTGCCTTCCTAATTTTTTATTTAACTCATTTTCCACTAAATTCACTGGGGCGTTACGTAATTTTTTCTAGTATATTTTGTAGGTATCGACGATGAGCACGCATTCTCCGTTCATTCAACGTGAAACTCGTGGCTTCACTTTTGAATTACCCGTCTCGAGTTTAAAGTCGGAAGGACTACTAATAATCTTAATCAGCGGTGACACTGTATTGTCAACTTCAATTTCTGTTACGAACACTAAATCAGTTCGAATCTTGTTAATCGAACATATTACTAATCAGTTCAAGATAAAATAAAAAGTAAAATTCAAAATTGAAATAAAATAAAAAGACCTACTACAATAATTTCTTTACTTAAAATTGCAAAAAACTGCAGGCAGAAGTGCAAGAGAGAATCCCACCCAAAGTTTGATAGTTGTATGAGGTAATAACATAAAAAACGAGTTATTGTTGAATCACGAATATTGTCAAGTACTAAAAAAACAATTCAAATTATTAGCCAATAAGAAACCACCAAACCTACCTGTATATATATACATACACACACACACATATATACACACAGTGAGTGTGAGCGTGGAGTGTGGGGTTCTATATCTATCGTCTATGCGCCTCTCATTAATTTTAGTCTCATGGATTTCAGCGTTATTTTATTTATTTCTTTTTTTTTTCAATTATTATTATTATTTCAAACTTCACCTTCATACCCGCGCTCAAAAGCAAGAATCCGTTGATTATTTCTGAAACAAATTAAAAAAATCAAACACCCGTTTTATTTTAATTTCTTTTTTTCTAGAGAGAGAGAGAAAACTGAAAACCCACCCCACTTTCGGACAGCAAGAAAAAGCAAACCCTCATCTCTTGAACCCCATAAAAAAACACAGTCCCATGTTTTAATTTTTTTTTTCAATTTTTTTTCTGATACACATTCTTGAATTGTAAAATCCAAATCTCGAGGCAGGTAGTACAATTTTTTTTTTCTTACATACACATATATATGTGAGAATCTTGAAAAAAATTAATCATAATTAGGAGGGTTTGATTTTCCTGTGTTAAATTGCCCAAGTTTGAATTTTTATTTGTGGGTTGATTCTGTAAAGAGGGATTAAAAAGACTCGATCTTTTTCATTAGGGTCTTGTTTCAATTTTTTTGCTTTTTGTTATATAAAATAAAATAAAAATAAAATTAATCACTCCCAAAAAAGGAGTCTTTGCCCTTGAGCATGCAAGAAAGGGGAGGAATCTACAAGTTGCAGAGGATATGATGAAGAAGAAGGTGATTAATACCACTGATTTAATTAATGGTGAAGTGCCTAAGCAGAAGGAAAGGCATATTGTTTCTTGGTCACAAGAGGTGAGATTCTTATTTATTTTATTTATTTATTTATTTAATTTCCCTGATTTTTATGTGATTTTATCATGTATTTGATTTGATCTGTTTGCTTATCAGGAAGATGATATTCTGCGGGAGCAAATCAGAGTGCACGGCACCGAAAAGTATGAATCTTGATTCCTTAATTTTGTTTTGGTTTATGTAGATGTCTAGTGATATGATCGTTGTCGGGTAATTAAATGCTAATTTGGTTTATGGGTGTGCTGTGTTTTTTTTTTTTTTTTGATAGTTGGGCGATAATTGCGTCGAATTTCAAGGATAAGACGACAAGGCAATGTCGAAGAAGGTTCGTGGAAATCAATTTTTCCGATTGCCATTTGCATCTTCCTCTGCCCTTTTTTTTTTTTTATTTGAATGTGTTTATAATATACAGATGGTTCACTTATTTGAATTCCGATTTCAAGAAAGGAGGATGGTCGCCTGAGGAAGACATGCTCTTATGTGAGGTAAACGATTTATAATCGACAGTTTTTTTTTCTGGAAAAAAAAGTTGTTTTATTTCATTAATGGATAAGGTGGACACTTTCCATTCGAAACTTGAAATATATTGTAATCATCGAATCGGCTCTCAGGCACAGAAGATATTTGGGAACAGATGGACCGAGATTGCAAAGGTGTCTCAGGCTAGGTAATTACTTACAAATACTAAGCGATATTTATATATATGT